GGTGCATCCTCTTACACTTCGTGACATTGAATCTTAGCAGCCATTGCTTCGACCATTCTTGAAGCTCACAGATATCCTTCTGCAGCTCTTCACAGTTCGCTTGGTTCTTAATTTCCCTAAATAACTTGGCGTCATCGGCAAACATTTGTATGGAGGGGTGTACAGCGTCAGGAATGTCATTTGTGAAGCAAACAAACAACAGCGGGCCCATTACACTGCCCTGTGGTACCCCGCTTATGACGGGTACACATGATGATTTCATGTCATTAATCTCCACACACTGCTTGCGGTCACTGAGAAAGTCTCCTATCCACACAGGACACTTCCTCGAATCCCATACCCTTTCAGTTTAATTTTCAGCCTTTCATGGGGTATGCTGTCAAAAGCCTTGGCAAGATCTAGGTATATATTGTCGATATCACCACCCTGTTCCAGAATTTGGGTCCAAACATCCAGTACCTTGAGTAAGTGTGATTTTATGCCCTGGCAAAAAATCCGTGTTGGCAATCCTTTACAAGGTTGTTTCGTAGTAGATGTTCCATCATGGCATCTCTTATTATGCTCTCTAGTACTTTATACACAATGCTGGTCAGGCTCACTGATCTGTAATTATTCATGGAGTGACGATCGCCCTTCTTGAAGATAGGACTCGAATAAACCATTTTCCAATCACTGGGGACCTTTTGCTCATCCAGGCATTTACAGAACAGGATCTCCAGGGGCTCGGCAAGCTCGTTGCACAACTCTCTTAGCACTCTGGGATGCATTATGTCAGGGCCGGGACTCTTATGAACCTTTAGCTTTGACAGTTTATTTCTAATAACCTCTTCTGTGAACACAATACAGGTCAGTGCTGTGTTGAACCGTCTGTCCTCAAACACAGGAAGATTGTTCACATCCTCTCTTGTGAACACCGAGGAAAAGAAACTGTTCAATGCCTCTGCCTTGTCCTGGTCAGAATCTGTAAATACCATCTTCAAGTAGTGGTAAAAAGCCTTTTGGTTTGACTCTTCCTCACTAGCACTCTGCCTCTGGAACTCCTTTTCAGTCCTTCTACACTCTGATTTTGCTTGGTTTCTGGCTCTGGCATACATCCTCCTGTCATGCTACTTATTATTGTTATTTTTAAATTACAGTACTACTGTATATTAGATGTTTTAAACACTGTTTATGCATCATATTCAGGTACTGTTTCACACAGATTTAGTATAAAACAATGGATGATGCAGATGATGTTTGTGTAAAACATCTGATATATAATGAAATTTTCTTCCTATATTTGTTAGCGATAAACATGTAAAATGACGTGTATCAGTACTACACATATAACGGGGACCTCTGTACTGTAAACATTTTTATGAAAAATATTAAAAATAATAAATTATCCTAAAAAAACAATTACAAAGTCTGTGTAGGGATGTACAAAATTTACCTTTGACCATGTAAGGTTACATTGTTTTCCCCAAATACTGCACAACTATTGACAACAACTTACGGTATTTATATGAATAAAAAGATAAAAGATAAAGAACCGTCATTTTGTTGGTAACAGTTGGAAGCTCTCAGTGGCGGTCGAGCTTCATCTCAAGACTGTCACCAACAAATAATAACTGATAACTGAATCACGTTTGGTATAAAATTATTTTTGACCAAATTTAATCTTTATGATTAAATGTAACATTGGTGGATTGTAACTACTGGTGACAGTTGAGGACTAAGATGACATGAATAGCACAAGATCAATTAAAAAATATTCCTACGATGGAGCCAGATAACAGGATGCATCAAAATTTACAGATTTAACCATGTTCCATAATGGCAAGATATGGATTTGTGGATGAGAAAATAAAAAAAATTAAGTATTATATGTAAGAAAAAAATTGGGAAGGTTAAGTGACCAAGATCACAAAGAGAGGATCAAGGATTGGGTCTGTGAAATTCTTTTTTAGTAACTACTGAGGAATATGAGGGAGACTCATGGAGAGAGAGCCATTATGGTCCAACTGGAAACTGACTACTGCACCAGTAACTCATCCATATTGAAACTAAAAGCAGATTATTATGAGTCAACCTCCAACACAGACTACAAACAAAGGCCACATACCGGTAATTATTGACGACTGACCCACGGCTGACTTTTCATACAAAACGATTTTAAAAACACAGCAATTTCACTGTTTGCTTTTTTTATAGTGGACACTGTTGTAGTCTGTGCAAATATGTTAAAAAGTGGTTATTTCTATATTAAACTTAACCTAACCTTAGTGGGTATGAAAAACAGACCTCACCAACCTAACCAAACAAACCTACCTAACCTTACCAGACCCCCAGTATATTAAACAGAAAGAAATTACTATAATATGGTGTAATTTTATGTTTTTTTTGTGGATGTGAGAGCAGCCGCCTGCATCAGAGTTGATCCACCCCAGGCGGCAGAGTGTTTTGAAATACGTCATATCCAACACTTTGCACACAAACCCAGTTCAATTTCACAGTATTGCTGTGAAAAGTACTTTCTTAGAAAGATGTTTATAAATAAAAGTACAATACTGGGTTTAATCTTGGCATTTTCAAGCCAAATTCCTTTATAAGCACTAGAACTGTAGCACAGGACTGCCAACAACCTTCACATGCCTTGCTGAAAATGAAACTGGCATGGGAATGAGAGGTGAGTGCAGCAAAGAGTGCGGCCACATTACCACTGGGAAGACAAAGTAGTGTGCACTTAGGTGCCTAATTATCTACAAAACAATGCATTTGCACAAGAAATCATTATCATATCAGAACTCACTGATGAAAATAAAGTAAGAAAATAAACAGTAAAACAAATACAGGTTGTACCTCTCTAGTCTGGCATTCTGTGGTCCGGAAACTCTCGTGGTCCGGAACAATTCTAGTTTGTCCAATAGATAGATAGGCAGCTCTTTTTTGTTTTTTTTGTTTTACTTATCTGAATTATTATTATTATTACAGGAGTATTAAATTTTTGCCCCTCAGGCCCCAATGTGGGTCAGTGACCTATGCCCGGGTGGGCTAATCCCCATAAAAAAAAACAACAACAAAGCCACGGAAAATTAAGGTTTGTTTACATCCGGCAGTTCGGCTGCTCTCTCTCTCTCTCTCTCTCTCTCTGCTTGTCTATACAGAGTACAACATTTAACCCTTCAATATATATGAGCAGTAAACAAGTGTTGCTTTCATATTCTTATGTAGAGTAATGATGATATGTTTTCACATGTGCGCACTTACATAAGCGCAGTCTCACTTTTTTTTACCATTAATGGTTAGCTACTTATATTGTTCCATTTATTAACATTAAATAAAGTTACAGGTACTTCAAACAACCATATTAATTTTTTTACATTAATTTTACTACAGCTACAATCAGGGTCTTATTTTCTTCAGTTTTATATGTAGAACCAATCAGTCACTGGTTTTGTAATCTTTAACATAAACAATGCCGGCAGCCGTCTCGTCTCATCGTGTGTTTTCATATTCCATGTATTATTAATAGATTGTATTGTTTATTTTGCGCACACAAACATTAATTCAATAAAAACAAATTCAGAAACATTAATTAAAATATATATGAACAGTAAATAAGTGTTGCTTTCATATTCTTATGTGAAGTAATGACGATATGTTTTCACGTGTGCGCACTTACATACGCGATCTCTCTTTTTTCTTTACCATTATCGTTAGCTACTTCTATTGTTCCATTTTTAACATTAAATAACATTACTTAAAACAACCATATTAATTTTACTACATCTACAACCAAGGTCTTATTTTCTTCAGTTTTATATGTAGAACCAGTCAGTCACTGGTTTTGTAATCAACGAAAACAATGCTGTGTCATTTCCTCGTGTGTTTTAATATTCTACGTATTAATAATGAATTGTATTGCTCATTTTGCACACATAAACATTAATTCAATAAAAAAGACATTCAGTAATAAACAATAATGAATCTTTTATACATAAGAGAAATAACGCTGTTTACACGATTATGCACATCGTCTGCACATTGGCGGGCCGTTCAAACCCGTCGAAATTCAAGTTTCAGCAGTCAAAATTTTTATTTATTTTTTTTGTGTGTGTTCCAATAAAATACGTTGAATTGAAAACTCGCGAAATTTGAGAAGCTACTATACGACATTTAACCCTTCAATATGTCTTCAAAGAGACCATGATGCAGAGAAAGTGGTGCTAGTGCTTCCAAGCATAAGCAGAAGTCACTATCTATCCAGGAAAAGGGTGAATTTCCATGGTCCGGCAATTTCCATGGTCCGGCACCGGTCAGGTCCCGAGGTTGCCGGACTAGAGAGGTACAACCTGTAACTCGTCCGTGGGCCAGTCGTCAATAATAACCCACATACCAGCTGGTAGGGTAAAATACCTAAAAATCTGAAACTCGTGTAAACCAAGTTAAGCAGATCATCATAAAGTTAGCTGGCTCTGTCTCTCTCTCCACAAAATATTTTTCATCATGGACTAATTATCTTAAAATGTATGAAAATCTAATTCACAGACACTTATATCATAGCATACCCCACTGTAAGTGTTTAAAATACAGTAATAGTGAAACCATATATAGTGTACAGTACTACTGTACCCAGTACTGTAGTCTAAATAACTTGCAAAATAAGTCACCAAACACCAGCTGCCAACTGCCCAGCCAAGGTGACTGAGGTAAAACAACAAGGTGTTCTTTCACAGTGTTAGCATAAGGTAGGAAGGTGTAGACAATTTACGTGTCAAGTACTCGGTACCTCCTTTTGTCACCATCCTCTAAAACTATATTGTACTACACTGTATCACTGTCCTCAAGTACTATAGTGTATCCCCTTCCTCATGTACTACACTGTAACACTTTTCTCAAGTGCTACCCTGTGGTACACTGTGATAGTTATTACATGATTTATATGAGTTTATTCTTCAGTAAACATGGCTGCAAATTAAAAGTGTACAGTAATTATTTACTCTTTCCATGTGGAGTACCTTCATGGGTGGCAGACGAGTGTTGAGCTGTGCTATCTGGATCATCGACCTCCTCGGGGCCTTCTTCTACACCTTCATCAGGTGTCACCACACAAGTCTGCATAAAAACAACATGCAGTCATTAACACCTTCATATCTTAACTAATTTGATATCAGGCTTACAGGAGTAGAAAAAAAAGGACAGTTGTAGTTGGACCTGACTTCTGAAACATTACATCTGCTAAAGTCAATACTGTACAGTACATACACTCTTAATTGTGCTCAGAAGTTGATTTCCTGCAGAGAACTAAGGTTTGCTGTTATATTATGGTATATGTGAATAGCTGACACTACCATTGAAACATCTAATACTGTATAATGCACAGATTTCTGACATTTGTGATCATTTAATACTGTATGCAAATAAATGACATTCATTTTTATTTACTGTCTTGTGTTCACTTAAAGATGTTTTTATTCAGTGTTAATGTTATCTTAAAATAATTTACAGCACTACAGGACAGTATTCTTATTTACTCTGCAGTTATCATCACAATAGTTTTTAACTGTTAGTGCTATTTTAAGGAAAACAACAATGAAAATGTTAAAGAAAGATAAAACCAAGAATTGTGAGGAAAGTTTAAGGGAAGGCCAAGAACACAGTCAGCCAAATCCATTTAAATAAGAAATAATGCAAAACATTTTAATAAGAAAACCAACAACAAAGATAAGAACAGGATTGTTGTTGTTGTACAGACTGTTATATATATGACATGCATCCTGCACACTCCATCATCTTCACACAGAACAGCCACCAATAATTTCTGGATGGTAGTGATGCACAGTGTATGCATAAAACACAAAGTCAACACAGTACAGTATATGAACAAGTAAGTAGGCTTTATGCAAATCTCTATATGTAGCAATGCACCACACACCTTCAGTACACAACCTATCAAGCATTATCCTCTGATGCAAAATACCTAATTTGTTAAGTCACTGTTATTTTACACACAAAACAAAAATTAATTATAAGTTGAAACATTCTTATATTTATTCCATTACTTTATGCCTTCATTTCTTACCCAGGATATCCTTCTCCAATGTTTACTTGTATTCGTCCCATAATTTAAAATACCAAAGAACATTATTCTGACCTTTTTCATCAGAAAGCTTAAATTTGTCCAGCATTTTACCTCACAGCATGTCTACCCACTTATATAATTTAAAATGTTCAGTTTAATCTAGATTTTGTATGTTGCAAAAAGTGTCATGAATTATAATTCAACTTTTACAACAATTATCTTTTAGTTACTTATGAAAATTCTACTCCAGTGCCTTCAGAGAGCATACATTATATAGTTCAGTGGCAAGTTATTTTGTGTAGGAGAACAATGCTGGAACAATCCTTCATATATGTGTTAATGTAAATAAATCCTGATCTGCAAGATTTATATGCAATGTAAAAGAACTATAGCCAGTAAGTAAGTACTAAGTAACTTTCCTGAGTGTATTACAGTTTGGTATTTCATGAAGAAGTGTGATATTCAGTATCTTACCTTGTTTATAGTATTTGATACAAAAATTACTGATATACCCTCACACTGGACTACTTAAACAGGCAGTGCTGGAAGTGTTAACATGAGACTGTGATACTTACAGGACTGGCTACTTCAGCTGTGTCACTTTCTTTGCTCTCTTGCCTCAGATTCTCTTTAGCATATATCTTATTGTTGTCACTTTCGTCAGTCGTCAAATTTTCTTTGTTCTGTGTGTGTGACGTGTCGGCATGGCTATTGTTTTCGGTATTTGTGACATTCTCACCGTCTATGTCCACACTGGTGATATCTGATTGTTCTAAGTCGTCCATGGTAGGGTCCTCATCTTCCTCCTGCACTGTGCCGGGGTTATCCACAGACCCAATACTCAATGTGTCTGGCTCAAATACCTGTGGCAGCAGACACGAGTTACCATTAGCCATGGATAATGGCTAGTAACTTTTGTCTTCCGGAATAAGAAAACATGTAACAGGGAAATTACATCTGTCCATATCAACAGCAAGTTGACAGTCAATCTTTATAACATCTATGAATAACAGGGATGCAACATGTTGGGCATTTGTGACATGGAAAAAGGGCAATTTTACAATCATGCCAGTTTGTCAGGCATCATATGTGTATGTGTGAGTCAAGGAATATTGCTGTTTGTTTATGTTTTATTGGCAGATACAGTATATGACATGCTGAGTGACAGTGGACAGTCTCTGACATAGGGTCATGGAAAACTAGTCACACATTGAGGTCAATACCAAGAAAGTATGAACATTAATAACATACAAACTGGGGCACAATGAAAGGAGTAAAGTGACATGGGCAGGAGAGTAGCTTAGTTAGGAAAAATATCTATTTACATATTCAAAAAATTGACACAACATATTAAAGGCCATACCTCATTGCTGAGAGATCTCTCTCTCCCAACCAGTGGTATTTCTCCATTTTGTGACTCAGAAGACAGCTTGGCCATATTCAATGCCATTATCTCTTTGTCACGCTGCCGAACAATGGCCTCCACAGCCAACCATTCTGACATTGTAGTTTCATATGTCTGACGAATCTGTAACACATAAATAGAGCATTAATTAGAAATTTCTTCTATAATGTGCAAAATTGTTTATCTGAACAAAATTCATAAAATACAGAGCATATTTAAGCATCCTTTATAAAGAAGAAACTGTAAAGGAGTTGGTAACACTGCTAGGGGAAAAATTACACTTTGCCCATTAAAATGATTCTCTCAACTATTTGGATTCATTTAAATAAAACAAACTTATAGAGCTAAAACTATAGTTAATGCACATAGATTACTTCAACCAGATTAACATCAACCTGTACTCTGCGAAGATGCTGTAGTGTTCCCCAGATAATGTTTCTCCACATTGTTTTTCATGTTGACAGTAAAGGCTTTTATCATTGTACTTTTCTTGACAAGTAAATTCTATTTGTGAGGGAAATGGTACACTGCTTTATGGTGACTTATTATCTTGTATTATTTGTAAGTGTTTAGCTTGTTTAGCTTCTTTCAAACAACCCTTGTGGATGCCTGATGGCATGTCAGTTGGGGCGGTGCTCAGCTTCACAATAGAGTACAATATTGTTATTCTAAGTTTATTTGATGATGGGCTCCATCAGATTCCCAAAAAGTGAAGCATATCATTTGTCTCACTACAAATGACCACTGTAAGGGTGCTTAAATTTAGTCTGGAGTGTAAGAAGTCTTGCAGATAACATTGGATCATTTTTACTCACTTTCTTTGGAAATTATAATGTGTTGTGAAACCTTATTGTTGCTCACAATTAACATGATTCACTTTTCACAGTCAACAGATCCTCATGAAACTATATTATCTTAGCTTTTCTTTGCACAATTAATGGTTTTCCCTGCCACGAATGTCTGAAGTATGGATCAGTTGTTACTGTCTTGTTTGAATTTCCGAGAGGATTTGTTTAGGTGGGTTTCATACTTTGCCATCTGTTTGGTCAGTTTTTGATCTTCCCTCTTTGTCTCTTCCTGGTTTTCTGGTTTGTTATGAACATTTTTTAAATTAGGTCTGTGACATCTTGTTGGTAAGTTTTTCCTTGTTTATTCTTAGTGTCTACCACTGACAGATCAATCGTGTATTTCTGATCTTGAAATCACTTTTCAGGACACCATGTGATTAGCCCAGCAGGAGGAGTTCTTCAAAGGTATCTTGTGATGAGAGCTTGTTGGAGTTGATTTACCTTTGTGTTGTAGAGGCCTTTATAATGGTCTGTTAATTTAGTTAGCCATGGAAAGATGCTGTTCTGAGTCTCAGGTGTTTTGTCATAGTCAGTGATAAGTTCACTGAGGCGGGCTAGCTCAGTAACCACCACACTCAGCTGCAGCGTGGTAGGTCCCTGTGGCACTTGTGCTGCTTCTTCCTGTTGTTTAGGTTATTCTTCTTCTAAAATTTCATTAATTATTTCATTATAGTAACCAGGCTGAATCTTAGCAAATCCTGGATCTCTAAATGACCGTGCTGCGTCAGCTGCTGCTTGAAGTGTACTGGTCACTGTCTGCCTCCCTTCTCCTGCTTTAGTCTCCGGGAACAAAAGCTTCCAACCATCAAGAATTGTAAGAACATTAATTACGGTAGATTCTATGCCACTACAATCCTGTCCATTGCCTGTTTAATATTATAATTCTTCCAATACTGAGTCACCATAACGATGTCATGAGTGAGGGGTGGTGTGGTTGAGGTGCTAGTGTGAGGTGGCGTAGCAAGTGGTGGTAGGGTGGCTGAGGTGCTGACATGAGCAGGTGGTGCTGGTGGAAGTGGTGTCTTGCTACCACTGTCCTCGTCGCTCAGCTCCTCCTCTTTCTGCTGTAGTTCTTCCTGGGAGTCAGTTTTTTATCTTAAATCATCATATACGCACTTGTAGTATAGCTGCTTCACATTAGCAGTGTTCTGGTGCATTATCCATTAAAAGAATAATTTTGAAGTCGAGATTCATTTATTGGCAGTAATGATGTGTGTCAGGAACAAAATGGTTATCAAACCAATCAGATGATATTGTAGTGGTTGCCCAGGTCTTCTTGTTACTGGTCCAGTAATGTACACATTTAAGTGTTGCATGTTGGCATGCTTGTACGCTCTAGGCCTAGCCGCGCGAGCCACCACCAGGCGCTTCATTTTGCAGTCACTTTTATCCTTTTACTTTTATCCTCTTCACCACTGATCGGCTTGTTAGCTGCTTGGGTGATCGGTCACGTCTCTGATTACTTTTAATTTTCTTTTCTCCTCTTCACCAAAAGATCTCTCTGTTCTGCTAAAATCTGATCATCTCAGAGGTATTGCTTCCTTTTCTTTTTTATTATGACAAGACAGGTTCTACCTTGGAGTGTACATTGGAAGGAATCTTACAAGTCACTCATCTCCTTCCTTCAGCCATCAAATGGGGTTTCATAATCTAATCCTAAATTTATGTTAAAGATAATAAATAGTCCATTCTAAGTACTGTATAGTATTCCGAGGTCATAAGTTCATACAGCAGACAGCCTTCTCAAGGTAAAGAGTAAACTTACACGACGGTCCTGTTCCTCCCTCTCCTCAAGTGAGCTCCCGAAGTTGTAGTGACCCAACAAGTATGGCCACACCTGCAGAGTGACATGATTGTTAGTTTGGGTCCCATAATGACATACAACATTCTCTCTACTAGGCATCTGAATTTTTTTTACTTCTTTCTTATACAAAAACCTTTTGAATGATTTTAAGCTTGCTCAGAAGGTTACCGTGCACATTGACTGATTAGTTTCATAACAGTTTTACAGCAGCTTATTCTCTCCAGAAAAAAAATCTAATCACCTCTTTCCTAATTTGTGGGGCAATACCACCAAGGTAGACTCGGGCCAACAGTTCCTCCTGTTGGGTGAGGCAGCCATTAGTATGAAGAGCAACCCAAGCTTCTTCAGTCACACCTTCCTCCCATGCTGTGAATAATGACATTAATTAATTTATGCTGTGTGTGTGTGTTGTTTTGCCTATAATCACTGATCATCATTCTCTTAATTTCAACTGACTAGTCAAATTAATTTCAGTGTCTCTTCTTACCTGGTGTATGAGGTGGTGTGGAGGCAGAGGGCAGAACAAGGCCAGCCAGGTGAGTACGAACAGTTCTTAAGTGTCGACAGTGTGCCAGCCAGCCATAGAAAGCCCGTGAGATAATTTGGTGTTTCATTGTGGCACAGAGAAGCTCAAGTGAGTCGCTGAAAATTTAAAACAATCCTGCATTAATACAATATAGGAAACACAAGGTAAAACACTTAAACACAAACAGACACACACACACACACACACACACTGTACAGTACTGTTATTCTTATTCGAGAAATGTAAATTAAAAAAATATTTAAAGAAATATCCATTACTGTCCAATGATTATATGAAACCAATGACTAATACCATTGTTTTTCTATTTGTTAATTCAGAAGAAACAGTAGTGCTTATGAACTCCTATATACTGTACAGTGGGCTCTCAGAGTACGTGAGGCTTACGTTCCTGGGATCTCCGCCTAAGTGTGAATTCGCGTATATTCGGGCTCCTCCATGTATAAAGCTAGAAGTTGCATTCTGGACTATATCACAAAAACTTGTTTTTAGATAAAAACGGCTGTTTTATACTAAGATAACCCTACCCAAGGGCAAAAGGCAACTGTGTGAACTCTCACAAACTATGTACTGTACCCTACATAGGTACAGCTTAAATGATCACCAAAACCACCACCACAAGCGCTGCCACTCACTGCCACAAATTTTCCTCTTAGGGGCCATGACTGCAAAAAAATTCACCAGTAAAGAAAAAAATTATGAGCACGAATGCCTGGGAGATGTTCACAGAACCAGTACGAGAGAGAGGAGGATGCCTTGGTGAGATGCTGGAAGAGGCTGATGAACTAGCTAGCATAATTACTATTATTATGGTCATAATTTATTTAGGCAGCACCTTCTGGAGATAAGCCCAGCCAGTACAGTACAGTCAGTGTAAATGTACTGTACAGTTGGGATGCCAAGGGTGGATCCAGGGGGGGGTTCTTGGGGTCCAGATCCCCTTCCTTTTCATCAGAAAATTCCAAAACTTTTTCTTTAATGCAGTATTGTACTCAGACATTTTAGTATAGTAAAAAGTATTTACTATTGACCTCAGAATATCTCCTAATATCAAGTGCATAAAGCTTTAAAATGTGCCCCCCCCCCCCTGGATCTGCCCTTGGCATCCCAACTGTACAGTACATTTACACTGACTGTATTGATGAGCAAGCCAGGTTGACATTTAATGCATTTTAACTGAAGTAATACTGTACCAGTAACCTTATTACAGTACAATACAGGAGGGCCCCGACTTACAAATGCCAGCCGAAACGAACAAGGTCCCATATGGTCAATTATTTAAAAAATCCAATATAAGTATAACCGGTTCGTAGCAGTTACATACGAGAACTAGTTTGTGCAGCGTAGAGGGGAGGTGGAGCGGTGCATGGGGAATGATGGACCGCACCAGTCACGTGCCTTGAGGGAGAGGGAGCATCAATACGCTTTATCCTCACTGCCTTAACAAACTTGATCAAGTGCCCTCATCATGGCTCCCAAACACAAACCTGATGTAAGCGATAGTAGTGCACCCAAGAACAGGAAAACATTTACAATGGAAGTGAAACTTGATGTAATTAAATGTTCTGATAAAGGCCAAACACCCTCAGCGACCAGTAAGGTGTTGGGCTTCAGTTGGTCAACAGTTGCAACAATTTTGAAAGACAAAGAGAAAATTCTTGAACATGTTAAAGGATCTACACCAATGCAGTCAAGTGTGATAACAAAACAAAGAAGTGGATTGTTAATTGAAATGGAAAGATTGTTAGTGATATGGGGTGGAAGATAAAAATCAACGATGTTTGCCTCTAAGTCTAGCCTTGATCCAGGAATGAGAAACTTGCACACTGACTTGAAGGCTATATGTGGTGGTGAAAGTGATGAGGAAGATTTTGTTGCTAGAAGGGGCTGGCTTAACTGGTTCAAGGTAAGGGCAAATGGTGTCTGGAAAAAACTCTGCTGAAGAATTAAGCCATGAGGACCTGATTAAACTGGAGAAGCAAATTTTGTCAATGGAAGATGAAACTCCAGAACCAAAGTGATTCATTACAATAGAAATGGTAGAAGGTTTCAGGCTTATTGAAGAAGGATTGTTTAAATCTGAACAGCAAGATGCCAGCACAGCAAGATTCACCAAGGTTCATAAGAGGTATTACTGAAGCTCTACGATGCTGCAGAAAGATTTATGATGAAAAGAAGAAAGTTTCAGTTCAACCATCCCAATAAAGCCTCTGTCACTCCTACAAATGCTCATCTCTACAAGCAAGCCAGCTCCAGGTTTCAATGTAATTGTTATAGTTAAATTTTTACTTTTCTTTACTGTATTTTGTCATTAAATTTCTTCTTTTCTCTTAAATTAAATAATTAGAGATGTATAAAAGGACTTAGGCTATGATATAGTGCACATAGGGTTTGTGTTCTGACTTATGTACATTTCAGACTTCAGAATGTCCTCAGGAACGGAGCTTGTTCATAACCCGGGGACCCCCTGTACAGTAGTTACAAAAGTTAACACAAAAAAAAAATCAGCAACTTCCAAACCTGTTCTTTTCATTCGTGCCCATTCTTGTCCCTCCTTCACTGGGATGTTCTGCTGGTGGACATGGAACATCCAAACTTGGATTTGGAGTAGGAGGTGGTGGCATGACCTCACTCATGGAGTCCCCAAGGCTGAGTGATTTGGAAGAGGAGGTTGAGGACGAATGTGATGAAAGTTTAGGGACGCGGGGAAGCCAGCCAGAACCACCACGTAACAAGGGAGACATCAGCTCCACGTGGGCTGGTGTCATGATAACACATGAAGGAATGACCACCAAAATCCCAAGTCCAGATGTTTGGGTAAAAAGAAAATATAAAGAGAAAATTATAATAGATGTATTAATTAATCTCATCATATTTTTCTGGCATCAAAATACATCATTCATATTATAGTACATTCTATTCAAATCCACGGGTTGTGTTCCCCTGGAGTTGTCCTGTAGTCCTATATTAATCTGCTAATGATGTCTTTCCATAACAATCAATCCTTTCATACAGCAACAGTATGTAATCTTCTTTCCATCACTTCAAATTCTATACAACAATGTCATTCAACTTTCAGAATTTCTTCTTTATGTCTTCAGCAACATTAACTACAAATTCATCTTATTCATATAACTACATCTCTTCAGCTGAGCAAACCTACTGTATATGTTATGACAACTATTACTAACTTCCACACAGGCATCAAAACATTTCCTTCATACTGCTTTAGTTTTACCATACAGACGTCACCCTCAGGATTAGGATAAGTGAAGTGACTTACATAGACGGTCGGGTTTGTGGGCTGTGATGATCCTAAATACATAATCTGTGGCCTCCTCTTCCTCATTCTCAATGCCACCATGGTGTTGTCTGTTGGCTAATGCTCGAGCCTTTCTCCTCAGCTTTGGGAACACTTTACCTATAAGAGAAACACAAACTAGTAGGCAAAGAATTTCTCCAGGGTGGGACATCTTTATTTTACTTTACATTACTGTATAGTCTGGTCTTCATACTTCCTATATAAAATTTTCTGTGGTTCTCATTTAAGAGCTTAACTCAGTCACTTGATGCATAAAAACAACAAGTTAAATTGTGATTACATTAAAATTTAAAAATATTAACAAATAAATATTAATATGCAGTATACCTTTCCCTCGCTGGGACCAGAGAGGTGGATCAAGGTGGCCATGAGGAAGAAGACCATTTTCAAGGCAGGAGAGGAAGGCAAGGAGGTGGCCACCTCGTGGAAAGTGGATAGGTGGGTACTGAGTTCCATCCTGCCCAACCAAAACAATTGTTCCCCCAGAGTCAGCTGTAAACAATACAAGTTACACTATGTATTAATTTCTTCTTTAGACCAAATGAGAGAGCCTCAATGAGTTGTATAACCATACAGTATTCAAATACTCTACAATAAAATCAGTCTTTCTAAAAACTAATACTGTATGTAAAACACATAAGTTCTCATAAATTTACGTACCTTGCTGATGGCAGTGGACGTAAACGATTTCCTCCACCCGCACATTAAGTGCATATTCCCAATAGATGCTGCAGGTGAGCCAGTAAAGAAGGTGAACAAAATATCAACTCACAAATTATAATTAGTGTTAACTGTACATGATAATACAGTATCTATAATCATAGTTCTATGGGTGCCTTTGTAATGTTTAAAACTGGTATATGAAGAAAATTGCCTTAAAACATAAATCACAAGTAAAATATTGGTTGATTAATGGTATTACAGGTACTGTACTACATTCTGGGAATTCTTTAAAGTTCCATATTGAGGGATAGAAGCCACCCAGGCAAAAGTTTTCAACAAAATTTGATATTTCTCCAGTTATAATATATATATATATATATATATATATATATATATATATATATATATATATATATATATATATATATATATATATATATATATATATATATATATATATATATATATATATATATATATATATATATATATATATATATATATATATATATGTATATATATATATATACTGTATATGTATATATATATGGCAATTAAAGCAATTAAACAATAGCAAGATAACATTATTTGTAACACAGTACTTAATATTGTTTATTATTTCAATAAACCCCATATCCAACCTGATCCCAAAACCTTCATCCAATCCAATTAATTATAGTTAATCAATTATGAGCTTTAAGTAAAGAAAGAAGCATTTCCAGGAAGTATATATGAGCATAAATAGTTACCAAAGATGAGTGTGTGATACAGTACTGTATATTGTATCAGGTTAACCTCTGAATATAGGTTTGATGAGCCAAAATAGGGATGACCTGAAGATTAGGCATTCCAGCTTATTTTCCTTGATAATTAACACCTTAACACTACCTGGGGAGGTTAGGTTAGGTATGTGTGAGGGCGTTTAATCCTCAGGGGAGATAAGCTTGGGTTTCTAATCTCCACGTGATCCCTAAATATTTCAACAACATTTGGTAAATACTTGAGAATCACCACTACTGTGTGCGTACAACCCATCAATAACACACCTTGGAGCGCACTTACCGAGAGAATCACTTTGTAATATTATAACCAATATCCTGAGCAGAGAAACAATTTATACATACAACCATTAATACCCAAAAATATGAGAATAAAACCCATGCAAAAGAGAGAGATAGAGAGACTATATTATGGTAACCCCCAAAAAGAGTAACGATCAACAGTCATCAAAATATTTCCAACCCCAAAATAATTTGTTTACTATTAAGACATCATTTCCACCACCACATCCCCATTAGCCTCATGTCATAAACAAGGAAAAAACCCAGCACCATCACCCAGCACCATCACCTTTACAGCATCAGTAACAAAACAGAAGTCCCCACACCACAAGAACTCACGATAGTGGGATCTCAGAGTAGCGGCGCAAGAATGATGGTCTTCTAGGTCTGGCGTGTAGCTCTGATAGACAGGGGAGACTGTGGCGCCGACCTGGGCACCTTCAAAATTACCACCAGGCCAAACATTATCTCATATGCGTTATTGTAGTGCCAAGTGAGACTACTGTATAACTGAACTATCGTTCTTCAAGTGATCCTCATAAGACAACCTAGAGACAGGTCTTACAGTTCCTGACACAGTGCAGTACATAGACTTAACAGTGCATTATGTCCCGGCTTGGAGAAATTAGAACATAGTTTTACTGAAGTACAGTACTTTATGATAAATTTGTAAAATAACTGATATAAATAATGTATATTTACAGTACTGTAAATAAACAACAAAAGCACCAATTTTGTAATAATTATATAAGGAATTCGTATATATAAATTCATATGTAAAAATTTTCCTCATATCTATTTACACAGAAGCATGAACAGTAGACTCCTAATTGATGGCATGTTTAGTTCAATTATCATGGGTGTCTATGGTTCAACATCACCATGGCACTCCACCCAGTTTTAATGGTCTAAACTGAATTATTGTTCATTCCCAAATGTGATTCTTTGCCCAATCAAATATGAAGCCATGGGAAGAAATCGATGTTCATATAAGATGGAGTAGCATTAGTCATTATATGTCTTGTTATTAGATCTACAGTATGTGTATAATAATGGCCCCCAAATGACCTGTGCAGCCTTCAGGTGATGGTGCTGCAAGGAAGGAACTGATTCAAAGTTTTAATTCTGAAACTAATTTAGACATCTGCCCGGCCACCCACACTAACCATCATGTTCCTCTACAGTCCATCATTATTTCCAAAGTATTTAAAAAATTGTGATCTGTATGATCATGATAATTCTAAGGTTCATTGGCAAGCTGTGGTGTAATGGTCAGCATGCTTGCCTCGCAGGTGAGCGGACCCGGGTTTGATCCCCGGACAGGGTGAAACTATGGGCAAGTTTCTTTACGCCAATTGCCTCTGTCTAACCAGCAGTAATTGGGGACCTGGATGTTAATTGATTTGTGGATCGTATTGCGGGGTAATGGTTAGCCAGTGCAGTTGGCGAGCTGTCCGGTCTTCTCGGACTATTCCTTGACACTGGGTCATGCAGCTCATTATCTTAGTGTGGTTGTTGTGTTGGTGACAGCTTCTACACCTTAAACACTGAGTCAAGCAGCTCGTTAACTCAGGTTGTGGTTGTTGTCTTGGCAACAGCTTCTACACCTTAAACAAATTCATACCTAGGTGGCCCTAGGGCCGGCCATCCTCGTTACACGAAGGGCAACCATTATTATTATTAAGGTTCATTTATTAATGGAATGTCTCTCTCTAACTGGCCAGCTTGAAAAGTAATCTATTTTTTCTCATTAGTTACACTGACCAATTATTTGTGGGTTGGATTAACTCAGGAATGTAACCACACACACAATCAGGAGTCTACTGTATACACATACCAATTCTTCAGCCTACATGCAGATGTGTTCTGCATAAATATGCCCTTGTGGACAAAGATGTGGTATATTTCAGTAATAACAAAGTGCAGTGTGAAGAACATCATTCAGGTGCAGCAAGCCTATGGTAGAGTGAGAGAGCCACATAAGGTTTTCAGTTTCAGGTATTAATAAAACAGTTATGACATTTTATGCTTTACCTTAAACTCTTAAAAAAGGGAACACAATACATGCAGCACTCTCACTCTGTAGCTGTGAGGAGGGATGTGACCATCAAGGTGGGTCAAGCTAGCAGGGTTTATTTATTACAGTACAGTATTGTGTAAAGTATTTAGAGTTGGTCTCTGTCATGACACACTATCTCACTCACCATACCCAAGATTGTTTTTTCTCTCTCTCTTGTGTGTGTGTGTGTGTGTGTGTGTGTGTGTGTGTGTGTGTGATACTGTATACAGTACAGTTGGGTCTTCATTTACGCGGTCAATTGAACCCGTGGAGGTCCGCGTAAAACGAGAAACGCGTAAATGAAATAACAGAACATATGGGATTAATTTAAAGAGACCGGGCCAACCTCCAAACTCCACTTTTTCCGACACAATACCTACGTTGTAGTAAAAATAACATCTTAATTTTATGATGGTATGCACACATAATTAATAATTAAGAGAAATATCAATAATATTAAGTTTTTTAACACTTACGTTAATAGAAGAGCTGGGTCGGCACACGTGGATGGGGGCTGGTTCCGAGGCAGAGGGCAGATTAGTTGCCCTCCGGTGAATCACTTTCACTACTCGCAGAGGTTTGCAGGGCCTACCCGGACAAACCCCTCAAAGTCCATATCCTCATTGTCAATATCACTATCACTGACTTGGGCTGGCTGTGGTTGTGGTGGGTTGCGGGCGAGGAAGTCCTCAATATTACGTTGACGACTAGCATTGATGTTGTCGAGATAGATCTGGATATACGGCTCCATAAATTTCGTCAGATGGTTATTAGACGCTTCATACCGATGCTTGTCTGAGTCGTTGGCAAGGATGAGCTTAAGTTTCTCCCCCAACTTGATGATTTTCTTCACATCATCATGGCTTGGTCCAGGTAATTCAATGTTTTTCTCTGGTGGTGCGGGTCCCGCAGCAGCCATTGTGAGTTGTGAGGGGAATAGTGGGCACAAGAGAGAACTGTATACGCGGACTGAGAACAATGAGACTGGCCCGGCTAGGTCAGTGACTTCTTCCCTCCCGTGGCAGGGCACGTCATATTACATTAAACCAATCACAGCTAGCGGGGGAGGGAGGTAAGGATGCGTGAACCAATCACAGTCCGATACGTCATATGACGTCACCAATAACGCAACAGTGCACCCCTCCCCGAGCCGCTTCTCCCCGCTTGTGGTCAGGCATGGCAGGATGGCGGGAGATTTGAATCCAAAATGGCGCGAGGCTGGACCGCCAGCTGCTCTATGCGTAAATGACCAAATTTACCGCGTAAATCAAGCATTTCACTTCTGGCAAGGCACCGCGTAAATAACAAAACACGTAAAAAAAAACCGCGTAAATCCAGACTCAACTGTATATCTACATGTATAAGGTGCATTAAAACAGCCTAACAGCTAACTATGAATGAAAATCACTCTTAATTTAAATACAAAAATACTGTACTGCTTATTTAACAACAATCTCACAGTGAAGCATGATACTAACCTAACCTAACCTATACAAGATGTAGACATGTTTTATTTAGTTAACATTGGAATGTCTGGTTGAATTATATTAATATCATCATCTTTAATTTTTTTTACTATTAATGGACTAAGAAAGTGACCTGTGGAGAAAGTTTCAAGGCTTCAGCCAGACATTACTTCCTTTTTTCAATTCTCTGGTTTTCTGTTGGCCTGAAACTTGTATTTGCTCTAATTCTCTCTTATACCAAAAAATGATTACTTTTATCCTTTTCACCATTGATCGGCTCGTTAGCCGCTTGGGCGATCGGTCACGTCTCTGTCACTTTTCTTTTTCTTTTATCCTCTTCACCAAATGAGCGGCTCGTTAGCTGCTTGGGCGATCGGTCACGTCTCTGTTACGCATTGTTGGCAAGTACTGGGAATGCACCGGCTCCTGAATGTACCTGAACCTGCTCCAGTGTTCGTCAAGTCTGATCTTGAAAGAGCTCACACTCGGTGCCGTCACAACACTTTCTGGTAGATTGTTCCAAGAGTTCACAACTCTCACTCCGAAAAAGTTTGACCTCACAGTTTTCTGGACTTGCGGCTTCTTCAATCTTGAGCTGTGACCCCTTGTGGGGCGAGCGTCCGCCAGCTCCAAGTAATGACACTCGACTGAGTAGTGCCCCTTGACATGCTTATACACCTCAACTAGGTCACCCCTTGCCTGTCTGTAGTATAAGCTAGGCAAGTTCAGGCGCTCCAATCTCTCAGGGTAGTTGAGGTGCCGAAGTGCAGGCACCAGTCTGGTGGCCCTCCTTTGAACATTTTCAACCAACTGACAGTAACCAGCATATCTTGGGACCAGACAGGGTGATAGTACTCCAGATGGGGAAGCACTTCACTCTTGAAGATCGTTCAAAGGTACGGACCATCTAGATATCTGAACGGCCATCTTATAAGACCCAATAATTTATTTGCCTGATTTGCCTCTTTTCGCAATGGCCCGAGAACTTCAGCTCATTGTCAACATACACACCTAGGTCCTTCTCACATTCAGTCTCAAATAGTGCAGTTTCTTCATCCCGCTGGGACATATGATACGCCTCCTCCTTACCGTTGGTACGCCTCAGGTGCATCCTCTTACACTTTGTGACATTGAATCTCAGCAGCCATTTCTTTGACCATTCTTGGAGCTCAGAGATCCTTATGCAGCTCTTCACAGTCCGCTTGGTTCTTGATTTCCCGAAATAACTTGGCGTCATCGGCAAACATTTGTATGGAGGAGTGTACAACGTCAGACATGTCATTTATGAAACAAACAAACAACAAGCCTCTTCACATTGTTATTTCACTCACCTCACTCTTCAGTCTTTTATTCACAAACACAGTCTAACAGCCATGTCTATTTACCAACTGTACTTCATTCTCATCATATGGGGTGGAACACACATCCCAATAAGGAAGGTCTCAGCAATGTAACCTGAAGGCTTGATAGTTTCTTCAAAGGTCACAAATTAGGCAATTTTGTGGTTTACTCTCAATTCTACTCCCAAAGATGTTAACTATATATCATCAAGGGAGGAATACTATAATCAATAAATTATCATCACACTGTACAGCACAGTACAAGTTGCAGTACCAACAGTGAACAATTGGTGCAGATCACTTCCGGAATGAGAGATTTCTGGGAAACGAGACGACTCTCTCAAAGCAAAACAAAATCCTTCATCTCCGGAATTTTCTGGGTAACAGAAAAATGTTCTCGGAAGTTCCAGAAATTGCCCATTACATCATCTCTCAAACCCGGATAAATTTCCCCCATTCCTGGAATTTTCCGGGTAATGTGAAATTTTTTCTCAGAATTTCCAGAAAATGTGCCTGATTTTCATCTCTCAAACTCAGAAAAATACTCCCATCCCTGGAATTTTCCAGAATTTTCCGGATATCGGGAAAATTTTCTTGAAATTTTCTGGAAAATGTGGCTCTCGGAAAATCGTTCCCAATGCCGTAATTTTCCGGAAAATTCTGGCTTTGAGAACGATTTTCCACGAAAATTTTAATTCGGCTATCGGAGAGTTCCGGGTTTGAGAGATTTTGGCCAAGGGAGATATTACTATATTTACTTTATGCTCTTCATCACTGATTGGTCTGTTAGTCGTTGATTGTATAAGTTTGGGCTACAGTACAGTACTCACATATTCTGAGGCAAATTGAGGAACCATTCCATGTAAACTGTTTATCTATTTACAGTACTGCATTGAAAATAATCTTTAAAAACAAAAACAAAAACTTCCTAAACAGTTTTGGGGAAATTTGCTCAATACATAAAAAGGACACCTGACTGTGAGGGTAAATTAGTCACATCTGAGAACCCTGACATGAGTGTGTTGCCTCTCACATGTTAAAACTCTCAACTACAATTAAATGAACTAAGTGTAGTATTTGAAGTCAAGATAGATATCATGATACAGTGATGGTTAATAGTGAATCATATTTAACTGATATTTTTACTAGTGATAATTTTTTTTAAACATATCAGGGCTTTCCTGTCACATGAGCTCTTGTACTGGGAATTATAGCATTCACCTGCCACCCTTGTTGTGTTAATGAATGTGTCAACTAATACTTCTGACTTGCAGTATTTAAGTATTTAAGATGTCTTGTTACCCAAAAATTTCTCTTTCCTGGAAGTGCTCAGCACCATTTGTTTCAGCTAATGGGTATATCACTGTACAGTGTACAGTAGTGTGTAAGTATATGTAATATATATTTAGTTTCAACAAATCTTATACTGTATATGCATATATATATATATATATATATATATATATATATATATATATATATATATATATATATATATATATATATATATATATATATATATATATATACAGTGGCCCCTCGGTTAACGAACTCAATCCGTTCCAGAAGGTCGTTCGTTAACCGAAACGTTCGTTAACCGAAACCATTGTTTCAATGGGTTTTTGGGTAATTGGTTCCAGCTCACCTATATATATATATATATATATATATATATATATATATATATATATATATATAGATTTTATTATCCATCATTTTCATTGTGGATCTACATGTATATATATATATATATATATATATATATATATATATATATATATATATATATATATATATATATATATATATATATATATATATATATATATATATATATATATATATATATATATATATATATATATATATACGACCAATTCGATTAATGACCTGGTTGTTGGGACGGAACCTCGTTGTAAGTCGAGGAGAGACATACAGTGGTCCCTCGGTTAACGAACGGTTCGGTTAAAGAATTACCTTCCATAAGGATCTTCAATTCGGTTAACAAACAAAAATTCGATTAACGAAATCCTTACGAAAATCACGTTTTGTTGTGAGCATCATCTGATCAGCTGATGGACTAGTCTGCCAATTCAGTAATCTGTTCTATGTTTACATTCGTTTCCAATGGAGTAAATATCAATAAAGTTGTGCTATTTAATATTTTTGCATGCTTTATATTAAAATTATTAGTCATTTTAACATTTATTTAACATATTGATAATACTGTATATGCAGTACAGGGAACTAGTATGTTGGGCGCCCATCAGATGCGTGAGTCGGTCACAAGGCGTCAGTTGGGCTTTGAAAACAGTGGAGAGAGCATCTATTTTGTTGGTGTCTTGAATATTTTTGCATTTTTCATTGAAATTATTGGTCATTCTGAACTTTAGTTAACATATTGATAATATATAGCGCAGTGCGGTGTTGATTTAAAGAAAATAATCTTGAATTACACCTAGTGAACTTAAAATTTTATTGGTGAAATTACAGCATCAAGCATGGGCCCCTGAAAGGTGATTTCTCCCCCATCCCCACTTCCTTCTCTTCACCCTTCTCCTCCACCCCCACTTCTAATTCCCATCATCATCATCAACCAGGAACCTTCTACATACACACCTCAAAGTAAGTGTACTTTACTGCATTTATTTTTTACTTTGTATGTACTTTTCGGTGGGCTGGAACCAATTACCCAATATCCCATTGAAACAATGGATTCAGTTAACAAAATTTTCGGTTAACGAACGACCTTCTGGAACGAATTGTGTTCGTTAACAGAGGGACCACTGTCCAGGTATATATATTGTACGTGAATCTATTTTTCATTCTGCAGAAGTATCTATAAAGGATTGGCTCATGCATAATATTTTCATATCAACCTTTTGTTAAAACATCTGTGCAATGTTTTATCTATAACACTGATGAAGGTCATCTATGTAATGTACAATTATTTTCATTTACTAAACTTCTCTCCCGACTTAATAATTATACAGGCTGTACAGTACGAAATTTTCACATTAAAATATTTCAAGAAATCAAATGAAACTCAAAGTGGAAGTCTATGACTGTTAGGCTAATGTTAAAATATTCAACATGTGAAGCCAACTACAGGATGACTACCTCTAAGAAAACAGACTCAAGGGGACACTATCCTAGACTACAAAAATGATGGTCAGGAGGAGCTCTCTACCATAGGCTAAAAAGTTGCTCTTGGTGCACGTCTAAGAAACAGGATCACTAAACTGTGCCACTAAAGGGACCAAATATCTACCATTCTGACCTTTTTTGAAAGCACAAATCCATATAGAAAGGTCTGCAAAGAACAGTTAACTTTATTAGAATTTAGGAAATTTTACAAAGAAGAACAATTACATGGACATGTGTCATAGAAGAAGGACTAAAGAAAAAGAGCAGAGGTGTTGTTAATAAAGATGACACACACAACATACTGTATTTAAGAGAACACAACAATACTGTATTAATGAGGACGGGAGGGTAAAAGAAAGGTACTGATGGCTGTAAACTCTTCTTTTGTGAGTACTGTACAGATAAATGAGACTTTTAATCATGATAATACAAGAATGAAACAAAAGTACAGTATCTGACAAAAATGTGTGGAAGATGCACTTGTGTTAAAATGTTCATGTAGAAGACGTAACTTATAGAAAACTGGATTTTTTGTTGACAGAAAAATCCATTGATATGATATGTAATGATTATTTCTTCTCTACAAATTGAAGATAAGCAAAAAAGTGAAGATCTATGCATTTAAATGATTTCATAAAGAGAGGTTTACCTGTATATGGTTGTGGTGGTCAGTACAGTATACTTTATCTTGTACAGGGAGAAAGAAGCTATGGATGTTAGTGGGGCTTTTGTGTCAAACATCTAATAGTTAATTTATTCCCTTGGTTTTTTAATGTTACTGAAGATTTTTTCTTACACTTTATAATTTCAAGACTGATAATTTTATCTCTTTTTGTTCCTAAACTATGATCCTTTTTCTAAGTCATGTTTTTCATTCTCAGAGATCCTTCCTTCCCCACTATGATGGAGGCTAACCAACTTCAAGAGGAACCCATTTTACTTTTTGCTTTTCTTCTTTTGATAACTAAACACATGAAGGTGAGGGTTACATCTTTCTCATCATCTATCTTTTTTGGTGTACACTGCAGCAGCTGTTTTATCCTCATCACCTCTGGTCAGCCTACTAGCTCCCTTGTCTCCATGCACTGTTCTTTAATTGTTTCCCTTGTAAAGTACTGGTGAAGTTGTACATTTTCTTCTCAGGGAGTGAAGTTCTCTCCTAATGATGTCTTTATGAAGGTACAGTATACTCTAACCTACAGTATGTGTGCACTGTTCAGGTCAAATATTAGTCTATATCTACAGATCATGTACATGTTGTGACCAGATACATCATGTTAAAATTAATAGAAAAATACAGTAATTGATATATAAAGATGCAGTTTTAGACAAAAAGACGAAAAGAGGCACAAAAACAAATGTATGAAATGTAGAAAAATTATAATATAAATAAAAATAAAAATTAAAAACAAATATATCACACTGTCAATTCCAACAAGACAAAGAATGTTTAAAAATAAGCACATGGAGCTACCATTAGATCGTAATGAATATATGTAATTTACAGACAATGTTTACAATTTACACTTAAAACAAGGCAAAGAAGTCCAGAAACCCTCAAATCACTGACCTCTTGTCTTCTGTGGTGTCTGGGCAGCAACCGTTCATCAGGTGGTTGGGAGTCCATTTAATGACCAACCCCTCAGTTGTCTGGTGGAGGGACATGTAGCCTGGCATGGCCTCCATTTGTTCTTTCTGCAAGTAACAAAAGTACAATACTGATTATCTAGAACTGCTCGTGCACAGTAGTAAGGTCTCCTATAACACATTTTCACGGCTCAATTTGGTTATACTAATGCACTGAATGTATTAAGGAACAGTTTCTATAATGAGGATGAGATTGGGATAGAACTCCATTGAATAAACGAAAGTAGAGTACAGTATGTCACTTAAGTAAGGATAAGCGGTGATGTGGTCGCCTCGGCACATGTGTCTTACATCTGTTATCACAGATTGTGCTTTACATTAGTACAAGTACTGTACAGTATCAACTATATTGCTTTAAATTACAATGTGTGGCAAGGGTGTGAATCATTCTGGTAGTGGTGGTACACTAGTGGAAGTGAAGTAAAAGAAAGAAAAGCTGTAACTCATGAACAAAAATTAGATGTGATAAAGTGGTATGAACCCTCACCTCCTCCACCACTCGTCTCATATAACCATCGTCTCTTCTTGTGGTCAAAAAGTTTTGATTTAAAAATAATTCATCATTAAAAGCTGTTAAGGGAGTCACACTCCACCACGTATTATCTCACCATGTTCGTCCTTCACTGCTCCATTTTCTATCATACATCAACACACACTGACACGTTGTAACAAGTATTTTTCCTCCTGGTAATGTTCTTATTCTATTAATGAATGATATTGTTAAACTAAAACACAGTTATTAATAACAAACAATATCATGAGAGTGAAAGTAGGACCCATGTTGGTCATGTTGGTGTTCTTGAACCTACTGCCACCTAACTCCTTAATTCCCATTGAATCAATGGTTAATTCAACATAATTTTTCTTTAACGTGGTGTTTTTCAGGAATGCAGCTACAGCAGTATGGGAGAACTGATTGCATAGCAACTTACATAATATTTAAATTTTAATAATTTACTTATGGTAACACAATGTTCTGTCCATACTGACAAATATTGTATGTCAATTTTGGTTTCAAAACCAGACTACTGTACAGTACTATGCAGGCAAAAGCTTGTTATTTCCTACGTGACAATATAATGTCTATTGTACAATATTAATCATTTCAGTATATGTTTGTTTCTTGTCATTATATTTCTGAAGTTTTAACATTCTAATGCTTCAAGTGACTGCCTTTAAAGCTCTGTATTAGATTACTTAAAGTAACCCTGGAAGCCCATTATTTAGTTAAAATGGTTCTCTGTCAACGATCATCAAAAAAAATTTTTGATCATAGAATTCTGAGTCTCAATGAGAAGGATTAGCCTTTTTCTTTCTAAACACCTTAATTGACTATCTACTAATAAGAAATGTATAAGCTAGCCAAAGATATCGCTTATATTTGCAAGAACTACACATAGAATGATGAATACCAAATTTTAACTCTGTCTCTCACCTACAGTAAACAAGTGTGTAGGCCCATATTATGCAGCATCAGTACAGTACAGTACAGTATTGTACTGCAAGTGCATAAGTTTTCTTCTCTACTCCTTCCTCTAACTATATTAAACAAGGATACTTACAGGCTGTACATGAACGTTATTCTTGCCATAGAGGAGTGTAGCTTTGTTGTTCTGGTGTAAGCTCTCCACATAGTCCCGGGCATTCAAGGGCACATTTCGTGGTGGTACTACACCCACATCCTCACTGCTACAGCTCACAGGCTTACGGTACTGTAAACAAACCAAGTTATGAGACTGGATCAGAGAAGTTCTAATTAATGCAATAAAAAACTACAAACTTACCACACTGAGCGGTGCAAGAGAAGGGTAGGGAAAGTGCTTATACCGTACCAATGATAATATGAACAGATATTAATATGTGATGGTGACTGACCTCTGCATGGACACATGGATATATGTATCAGATCAAGATAAATAATAAATCTTAATACAGTACAATATTTTTGTTGTGAAATGTACAATACTGTAAGGACATATTAACACAAGGTGCATGGAAGTTCACAGTGAACAAAGTTGTTTACTAATGGTACTGTGCTTGAAAAATAATAAGTGAATTTCACATGTAGATGATGGATAGTTTAGATAGATATATAGATAGATAGATAGATAGATAGATAGATAGATAGATAGATAGATAGATAGATAGATAGATAGATAGATAGACAGCCAGACAAATATCTATTCATTTAAAAATCATCAAACAAATTTTTTTTGGTTTAGTGTACACATAACCAGTACAGGCATACTGGCAATGATTAACTGTTTGTCGATTCAAACTAAGGAAATTCCAAGAAAGTTGTTAAAGGCTTATCTCCATATGAGTCCTTACAAAACATCAAAATTGGCTGGTTTGCTACACTATAAACACACTGTACAGTATCTATGATGATGAGTCTTCTTACATTTGAAGTTTTAATATCACAAACTTACTTTAGACTTCCCTCCTTGAGTTGCATCCTTCCAGGTGGCGAGAAAAAAAGGGTGAAAAGTTACTGAACAAAATCCAAATGTAATGTGTCACCCTTAAATCTTCTTGGAAATTAACAGAAAATAAATTTGCACACTATACTGTACTGTTGCTCATTGTCAAGCAGTGCGATTACTTTCTGTGATTAACAAAATCAAATACTGTAGCTATGCCAATGTAGAAGTACTGTATATCAAAACTGTAATTTAAACTTCTGTACCAATATCAAGCTCCTCTTACAGTAGCTACACAGTACAGTACCAGAATTTCAAGCACAACTTTCCATTGAAAGAACCGGAATACAAATCTGATTTTTTTTATATGTTTTGGAATTGTGTTCTGTTAGTTCCAGATATTTTGTTTAAACACTAAATAAGAATGATATATATATAAATATATATATATATAATATATATATATATATATATATATATATATATATATATATATATATATATATATATATATATATATATATATATATATATATATATATATATATATATATATATATATATATATATATATATATATATATATATATATATATATATATATATATATATATATATATATATATATATATATATATATATATAGGTGTTCTCTACTTACTTAATCTAGTTACATTCTGAGGCTTGTTTGTCAGTCCAACTTTTTACTCCTGTAGATACTAAACATATTGTAAAAATGAAGACTCTTGGACACCGGTATTTATTTTTTTTCTTTTATCCTCTTTGCCACTGGATTATTTGTTATCCGCTGGGACGGTGGTCACGCTCTGTTTCACGCACTGTTGGCAAATACTGGCATGCACCGTTCTGAATGTACTCTGAACCCGCTCCAGTGTTGGTCAAGTCTTGTCTTGAAAGAGCTCACACTCGGTGCCGTCACAACACTCTCTGGTAGATTGTTCCAAGAGTTCACAATCCTCACTCCGAAAAAGTTTGCCCTCACGGTTTTCTGGACTTGCGGCTTCTTCAATCTTGAGCTGTGACCCCTTGTACAGCTATACCCTTTAATAGAGCCTTAAAACCTGGCTCACTTTTCTCCTCTTAGGTAATGTTTGTTTTATCTGGAATTTTCTTCAAAATAATCCAGTTTCATCCACATTAAACACCTGTTCTGGTCGGTAACCCCCCTCAGTGATGATGTTTGTATCTCTGAAAGTTTGTAAGTTGAACGTTCTTAAGTAGAGGAGCACCTGTATCTTGATAAAATCACACGGGGAAAAGGGAAACACAGGAGAACCTTAGCTTTCGTCTTTATTCAAGACATCTTCAGAGGCAACTGGATTAAAAAGACTGAGAGAGAGCTTATGTACACAGGGTGACCTTACCAAACATGAGGTCAGGTCACAAAACATGACATCCACTAATCCACACACCAACCACACAGCAAACATAAGAAGAGATTATAAGAACGGGCGACATAACTAGTCAAGGCACGTCAGGTAAAAAGTATGAGACCCACTAATCATCTATCCTACATCTACCTTACATGCTTTCAAAGCATTTTTAACCTTGGGCCACTGACAAATAAATGTGTGTAACATATTCTCAGTTTTGTACTGACCATCACTAAGGTTTTAAGAATACATTTCTCTAATCAAAGTTGCTTCAACTAGAAGTCTTTCTGTGATACATGAGGATTTATACACTTCTAAACTCTTCTATGGGATGATTATTGTTCCTTATATGAACGAAAAGTGCACTGCTTTCAGATGCTGTTTAAAGTATTTTAAAATGAATATTTAAACTGACGACTGTTTCCATAGTTCTATTCTAGATTTAATAAATATTTCTCTTATAAAGATCAAAGAGGAGGGAAAAGTTCTTATATTACTGACATTAATCATGCAGTTGGGTTGAGTGATTTTATTGTTATTCAAGAGATCTGTTAGTGCCAGTGGCAGCTCGCCGGTAGGCACTGTGGAACTGCAGCACCCCCTATTTCACCCGATATATATGTATTATATAATATAATATATCATATATGTTTATTTATTTATACTTGTACAACATATTTAAAACTATTATCAATAATCCTTAAACTCAATACCAATGGCCATCCTCTAATTCCGAGAAAACAACAAAAATCTCTGTATGTGGAACTGTCTTACTCGACAGTTCCAATAACAGGCGTTTGCTTTGTCACACGCATGTGTGCATGTCCTGGAGGCAAGCGGGGGTGAGCACTGTGGCTCACACAGTGCCGATCTGGTTATCAGTATGGGAGGTAGTGTTTACGCATCATCCTGTGTGGTGCTTATGTGCCGTCTGCTATATCAAGAGTATTTGAATGTGATAAACTGTAGATGATGTGATATCATACTGTATGTTATCACATCATCTACAATTTAAAAGAATAAAAGAATAATTAGTGGCATTAAGATGTGGCACTAACTTAGTGCCACTAATAGAAGGTTAACTTCTTCTTAAACACAAAAAACTTGGTACTAATATGTTGGTGTACATTATGTGGTGTATGTATGTATATTATGTATGCTGTATGTATATTATGTATGTGCTCCATTTATATACACTATTTATTCAGCCTAGCTAGCAGCGTGTGGCAATGTATTTACCATGTCCCACACGCTTAATTAATGTGCCTGGCGACATATGGAAGCTGCTAATGTATCACTTACCACATGTCGCCCGAAAGGCTAGTTGACCCCCAGACAGAGTAAGGAGCGCCACCTCCCTTGTGTATCTGTTTATCCAGTAAATAGAACCTACGAAAACTCTACAGGTGTTTGTGTTCGCTCCTGTAGATAGAACTTGATACCCAGAACACATGCATGGCGCAGTGAGTCATTTTACTGGATCATTATACAAGTGAAGTGTGAAGTTTGTGGCAAGACCGGCTTATGGACCCCTGCTCTGTGTCAACCACCGCTAATGGCCGTCTCTTCAAAGAATTTATAGCAACTTTGAGCAGTGTCAGTGACAGTGATTTCCTGTGAAGTGTATAGTGCATTGTGTGTTTAGTGCCATAACTGTGTGACCTTGTTCTAAAGGATTCCCAAGGTGTAAGGCATGTTCAGGGCAATTGTGGGGAGTAGAGTTCCTGTGCACCCTCCTCTGACCGCGTCCAGGTGGTAACTGGCAACTGACTGTGAGTCGCCGCCTCTCCCTCCTCTCCCTCCCAGTGAGATGCTGCCCAAGGCGCGCGCACACACACACACACACACGTACGAACACACTGACTGCGGCCATCCCTAGTGACCGACCATCACCCACTTGTCCCGATCCTCAACCACTACACGCTGGACGCCATTGAGAACCCTCGCCTCTAGCGTCTGAAAGAGAAGCTCTCGGCGTACGTCTTTACAGCAGTGTGGCGTGCTGGTAAGGAGCTCTGCATCCCTGATGCCTTATCCCGCTCTCCTGTCAGCCGCCCTACTCCAGAAGACCATGTGCTCGACGCCGACCTTGCTCTTTCCGTCAGGACTGTGGTCACTCTACACGTCGTCCAATCCCTTCGTTCGGACCTGTCACCAGATGACGACAAGGCAATGGAGGACCTTCGAACAGCGGCCCGAGATGACCCTTCCTACGCCCGACTCGTCGAGTGTGTGAGGAATGGATTCCCTAGCAACTACTACGACCATCACAACACCCTGCTCCCGTATTGGAAACTCCGCGATGAACTCTACTGCGACAGGGACCTTGTTCTGTACGGAGCACGTGTAGTTGTCCCTGCTGCCTCAAGTCCCTGCGTCTTGGCTCGCCTTCACGACAGTCACCGTGGAGCTGAGGCCACCAAACGACGTGCACGACAGACTGTGTTCTGGCCCGGCATCGACTCCAACATCTCCAATGTTGTCCGTGCGTGCGAGCCCTGCCAAGTATTACAACCCAGCCAGCGGCAGGAACCCTTCTTGAGTGACAACCCCACCCGCCCCTTTGAGTCTGTGTCGGCCGACTTTTTCTGTGTGTCAGGAAAGTCCTTCCTTGTTATCGTCGACCGTCTCTCTGGTTGGCCGGTTGTCATCAAGTGCGGTAATGACACGACGTCTGCCGCCACCATCAGCAAGTTCCGCCACTACTTCCGTGACGTGGGCGTTCCTGTGCGCCTGCGAACCGACGGAGGGCCTCAGTTCACAAGCCGGGACTTTGCTGTGTTCCTCGACCGATGGGGAGTCCGGCATGTGTTGTCATCGCCCCATTACCCGCAGTCCAACGGCCACGCTGAGGCTGCTGTCAAATCCTTGAAGCACCTCATCCTTAAGGTGGCCCCTTCTGGGAATATTGACTGCGAGGCCTTCGACCGGGGTCTTCTTGAACTCCGCAACACACCTAACTACACCGGACGCTCCCCTGCCCAGGTTTTGTATGGACGCCCCCTTCGTTCTTGTGTCCCTGCTCACCCTCAATCCTTCTCCAAGGAGTGGCAGGCCAAGACAGAGGATTGTGATCGCCGAGCCGCCGAACGTGTTCACGATGTCGTCGCCCGCTACAACGACCACGCCGTCCTCTTCCCAAGTTGAGTGTTGGCACCCAAGTCCGTGTTCAGGACCCGACCTCCCTACGTTGGGACAAAGTGGGCGTAGTCATGGGTCTCGGTAGGGCACAGGACTACCAGGTGCGGTTACCCAGTGGTCGTGTGTGGTGGAGGAATCGCCATTTTCTCTGCCCCGTAACAACGCCTTCTGCTGACCCCGCCACCAGTGTTGAGTCCCATACCCTCCCCAGTGATCAAGTCCCTCGACGCTCAGAACGGATCCAAAATAAATGGTCCGCTCAAGACTTTGCTATGAGCGTATAGGGGGGGAGGGAGGTGTATGTATATTATGTATGCTGTATGTATATTATGTATGTGCTCCATTTATATACACTATTTATTCAGCCTAGCTAGCAGCGTGTGGCAATGTATTTACCATGTCCCACACGCTTAATTAATGTGCCTGGCGACATATGGAAGCTGCTAATGTATCACTTGCCACATGTCGCCCGAAAGGCTAGTTGACCCCCAGACAGAGTAAGGAGCGCCACCTCCCTTGTGTATCTGTTTATCCAGTAAATAGAACCTACGAAAACTCTACAGGTATTTGTGTTCGCTCCTGTAGATAGAACTTGATACCCAGAACACATGCAGTGTACATGTACTGTACACTTCTGAGTTGCAATAAAGAATGGAATAATATATTAATTCCATCAACAAACACATCAAGCCTCTTTGGTAACGCAGGCTTCTTCAGGTGGTGAATTAGCAATAAGTTTCAGCAGGTCATTCACTGATGACCTGTAGTTTAGTTCATAAAAGAAAGGTACAGTATCTGCTAGGTTATATAAATTAAAGACTTACATGGAGACCAGGTCTACGAGGGACAGGGGGTGTAGAGGGACCTGTAAAGTGCCCTGATGAGATTCTGTGACGCTGCACCAGTTCATCTGCTGGAGGGTCTGTCCAGAGGTGGTCCACTGTCTTCATCCTGCTGAAGTCCAGGGCACACGGACCAACTGTGGGCATCCTCGAACTTTATTTTCATATCAGAATATAATCTATTACACATTGAGTCTAAGTATATTCACATAACATAACTTATAAACTCCATAAGGAATATCAAGGACACATTACATCCACTGATAATACAGTGTACTACATACATTAGTACTGGTGCCTATAATCTCTGCTGAGTCATATTACAGCTGCATAACATTCAAACTCACAGCACTATGGGAGTACTGTATCTACGTTTTCTAATTAGGAGAGTCACAAAAAAACAGTAAACATTTCGAAGGGGTAGTTAGTATGCTGTACACTATGTTGTTTTACATGAATTATACCAGTATGTATACTGATAGTATTACGGGAGAACTCAAGGTACCTATATGATGATTGGCAGGGCCCAATTGGTATGGACTAGTGTAATAAGGTGAATAAGTGTGACCGTGTCTGAAGGTTATGTTATTTACGTTGGTGTAAGATTAGTAAACACAGCTACTTCAGGTATCAGATGAAAATATATTAGACGAATGATCTGGGAATTTTTTTAAATGTATTAGACATATGGCAAGTATGGAGGTTGACCCATAAACTATACCCCAAGGGAAAAATCGTATTTACATCGGTGTGAGTTTAATACACATCGGGGCGCTCCTGCTTAACACAATTGCTCAAGGTATTTTCTTTTATCCTTTTCACCACTGATAGGCTCGTTAGCCGCTTGGGAGATCGGTCACGTCTCTGTTACGCACTGTTGGCAAGTACTAGGCATGCACGCCATATTCTGGAACGGGGTGGTAAAATCGACAATGTATACCTAAATTTTGCCAAGGCTTTCGACAGTGTACCCCACGAAAGACTGAAAATCAAACTGGAAGGGTAGAGAATTCGGGGAAATGTCCTAGCGTGGATAGAAGACTTTCTACATGACGACAAGCAGTGTGTGGTGATTAACTTACAAGAGGGGTGTGCTAGACAAGACGTTAGAGCCAGCCTCTGTCCTGCATGGCAGTGAGAAGTGATACCACCCTCAGTGTCAAGACCTGACTGAATTACTCAGTATAGGCAAACTGTACTCCAAGCTTTGTCAATAAATTTGTTCAACTAAAACTAGAGCCAGCCAGGCGAGGGTACAGGGAGAGGATGTTTTTGAAGAATCCAAGTGGTGTAAAATTAAACTGAAGGGAAGGGACTTACTTATTGTCGGGTGTATCTACAGATCCCCAAACTGTGGCCCACTAAATCAAAGGAACTTAAGAGCCTTAATAGACAACGCGGCAATGCTCAACCTTAGCCACCACCATATCATGGGGGACTTTAACCATGGCGACATCGACTGGAGAAACGAGTTCACCCCAAATGACATGACTAACCCTGCTACTCTTTTTGTAGAAACTCTGGGAGATAATTATCTGTTCCAACATGTTAGAGACCAGACACATTACAGAGGGGAGCAAACACCCAAGCCACTAGACCTCATCATAACAAACGAGGAGGGGATGGTGGCCAAACTGGAACACCTTGCCCCAGTTGGCACCAGTCACCATAGAGTGTTGTCATTCAGATTTAACTGTTAACAAGTTCAAGATAACACCAGGCCAAGGTGCAAATATTATAGGGGAAATTACAACGGGATGAGGGGTATCCACTGGCCTGACTCATTAAGGCACAAGAACGCAGACACTACGCTGAATATCATAACTAGTAAAGTGACCCATTTGATTGATAAATATATACCCAAGACCAAACCCAGTGCCTCTAGGAATACGAGGGGAACCCTACACATGAATCATGCAGCGGTCGAATAAGTTAAGAAGAAAACCCAGAAATTCAAGACTTGGGTTGGGTCAAATGATGAACAGGACAGGAGGATGTATGCAAGAGCCAGAAACCAAGCAAAGATAGAGTGTAGAAGGGCTGAAAAGGAGTTCCAGAAGCTGGTTACAAGCAAGGTCAAGTCAAACCCAAAGGCGTTTTACCGCTACGCAAGGTCGAAATTAAAAACGCAAGTATCAGACCTGAGGCTTGGAGATGGTAGTTACGCAGATTCTGACCAGGATAAAGCTGAGGCATTGAACAGCTTCTTCTCCTCGGTGTTCACAAGAGAGGATGCGATTAACCTTCCTGCGTTTGAGGACAGACGGTTCGACACAGCACTGACCCACATTGTGTTCACAGAAGAGGGTATTAGAAATAAACTGTCCAGGCTAAAGGTCCATAAGAGTCCCGGCCCTGACATGGTGCATCCTAGAGTGCTAAGAGAGTTGTGTAACGAGCTTGCCGAGCCCCTGAAGATCCTGTTTTGTAAATGCCTGGATGAACAAAAAGTCCCCAGTGAATGGAAAGTGGCTTATGTAAGTTCTATCTTCAAGAAGGGCGATCGTCACTCCACGAACTATAAACCGGTGAGAATGACCAGCATAATATGTAAAGTACTTGAGAGTATTATCAGAGATGCCGCAATGAAACATCTACTACGAAACAACCTTGTAAAGGATTGCCAACACGGTTTTAAACTGGGGCGCTCCTGCTTAACACAATTGCTCAAGGTATTGGATATTTGGACCCATATTCTGGAACGGGGTGGTAATATCAACAACATTTACCTAGAGTTTGCCAAGGCTTTCGACAGTGTACCCCACGAAAGGCTGAAAATCAAACTGGAAGGGTACGGAATTCGGGGAAATGTCCTAGCGTGGATAGAAGACTTTCTACATGACCGCAAAAAGTGTGTGGTGATGAATGGCACAAAATCATCATCCGTACCTGTCACAAGCGGGGTACCACGGGGCAGTGTATTGAGCCCGCTGTTGTTTGTTTGTTTCATAAATGACATGCCTGACGTTGTACATTCTTCCATACAAATGCTTGCCGATGACGCCAAGTTATTTTGGGAAATAAAGAACCAAGCGGACTGTGAAGAGCTGCAGAAGGAACTCTGTGGGCTCCAAGAATGGTCGGAGAAATGGCTGCTGAGATTCAATGTCACCAACGGTAAGGAGGCATATCATATGTCCCAGCGGGATGAACAAACTGCACTATTTGAGACTGAATGTGAGAAGGACCTAGGTGTGTATGTTGACAATGAGCTGAAGTTCTCGGGCCATTGCGACAAGAAGTTAAATCAGGCAAATAAATTATTGGGTCTTATAAGAAGGTCGTTCAGATATCTAGACGGTCCGTCCCTCGTAACGATCTTCAACAGTGAAGTGCTTCCCCATCTGGTCCCCGAGATATGCTAGGGACTGTCAGTTGGTTGAAAATGTTCAAAGGAGGGCCACCAGACTGGTGCCTTCACTTCGGCACCTCAGCTACCCTGAGAGATTGGAGAGCCTGAACTTGCCAAGCTTATATTACAGACGGGCAAGGGGTGACCTAATTGGGGTGTATAAGCATCGGAGTGAGAGTTGTGAACTCTTGGAACAATCTACCAGAAAGTGTTGTGACGGCTACGAGTGTGAGCTCTTTCAAGACAAGACTTGACCAACACTGGAGCAGGTTCACGTACATTCAGGAGCCGGTGCATGCCCAGTACTTGCCAACAGTGCGTAACAGAGATGTGACTGATCCCCCAAGCGGCTAACGAGTCGATCATTGGTGAAGAGGATAAAAGGATAAGGACCACAACAGTAACATAAGGATCACAACAGTAACATAAGGACCACAACAGTAACATAAGGACCACAACAGTAACATAAGGATCACAACAGTAACATAAGGACCACAACAGTAACATAAGGATCACAACAGTAACACAAGGACCACAACAGTAACATAAGGATCACAACAGTAACACAAGGACCACAACAGTAACATAAGGATCACAACAGTAACACAAGGACCACAACAGTAACATAAGGACCACAACAGTAAGACAATAATAAACCTCTCTATCTATCAAGATACTAGACATATCCTCACCTAAGAGAGAGCTGAGGATGGTGCCGTAATCTGGGTCAGCTACAAGCGAGTCCCTCTCGTAGTATTTGCTGAAAGTAAGGAAGAAACTCATTAATATTCTTGTGAGTTTTGTGACTTAGAAACCCTTTGGGATTCGTTTTTTGTCAACCACGGAAACTACTCACAAAAATATGTATTCCTGGTGTATTTGCCGTTGTTTTAAAATAACCTGATCTTCATTTCAGTCGCAAATGAGAGGTTATGGAGATATACCCCCTCCCTAATTACCAACAGTTTGATTGTTCATAGTGGGCAGGGCTTTAAAGTAGAGGGAATATACAAAAAAGAACAACCAATACTGTTGATAAATGGGGGGAGGGGGGAGGGGGGTCCATATCGCCATAACGTCTCATTTGCGACGGAAATGAAGATCAGGTTATTTTGAAACAACGGCAAATACACCAGGAAAACATA